ATTGTGCAGGATGTGGACGTGGTTGGCAAGGTACGATGCAGTGACTATAGAATGGTACGGTCTCGAATTCGCCTAGACTTGAAGAAGGAACGACAGGAACTGATACGCAAGAAGCCAATCAATGAGCTAGCACTGAGAGGGAAAGTACAGGAATTCAGAGTGTCGCTGCAGAACAGGTACTCGGCTCTTAGTGAGGAAACCAACCTTAGCGTAGATACAATGAATGATAATCTAACGAGTATTATTACGGAGTGTGCAGTGAAAGTTGGAGACAGGACACTGGCAAGCTTTCCCAGGAAACGAAGAACCTAATTAAGAAGCGTCAAAGCGTGAAAGTGTCAAGTACAACAGACAAAATAGAACTGGCAGAGCTTTCAAAGTTGATTAATAGGCGTAAAGTATGCGATGTAAGAAGGTGTAACATGGAGAGAATCGAACACGTTCTGAAAAATGGAGGAAGCGTCAAAGCAGTGAAGAGGAAACTTGGGATAGGCAAAAGTCGGATGTATGCACTAAGGGACAAAGAAGGCAAAATAACTACCAATATGGATAGGATAGGTAAAATAGCGGAGGTGTTTTACTGAGATCTGTACAGTAGCCGAGACAACCACGACCTTAATACAATAAGAACTAGCAGTAACCCAGATGACACCCCACCAGTAATGATAGAAGAAGTCAGAAAAGCTTTGGAGGGCATGCAAAGATGCAAAGCTGCTGGTGAGGATGAGGTAACATCAGATCTGCTGAAATATGGAGGACAGATTGTGTTAGAAAAACTAGACACCCTGTTTACGAGGTGTCTCCTGACGAAAAGGGTACCAGAGTCTTGGAAGAACGCTAACATCATCTTAATACATAAGAAAGGAGATGACAAGGACTTGAAGAATTACAGGCCGATCAGCTTGCTTTCTGTAGTATACAAGATATTTACAAAGGTAATTGCTAACAGAGTGAAGAAAACATTAGAATTCAATCAACCAAAAGAACAAGCAGGATTTCGAACAGGCTACTCAACAATTGACCACATTCATACTATCAATCAGGTAATAGAGAAATGCTCAGAGTATAACCAACCACTATACATAGCCTTCATAGATTACGAGAAGGCGTTTGATTCAGTAGAAATATCAGCCGTCATGCAGACACTGCGGAATCAGGGCGTAGATGAAGTATATATAAACATTCTGGAAGAAATCTACAGGGGATCAACTGCTACCATAGTGCTTCATAAAAAAAGCAACAGAATACCAATCAAGAAGGGTGTAAGGCAGGGGGACACAATCTCCCGAATGCTATTTACCGCGTGCTTACAGGAGGTTTTCAGAAGCCTAGAATGGGAACAGTTACGGATAAGAGTTAATAGAGAATACCTTAGTAACCTGCGCTTCGCCGATGACATTGCATTGCTGAGTAACTCGGGGGACGAATTGCAACTCATGATTACGGAGTTAGACAAGGAGAGCAGAAAGGTGGGTCTTAAAATTAATCTGCAGAAAACGAAAGTAATGTACAACAACCTCGGAAAGGAGCAGCGCTTCGAGATAGGTAATAGTGCACTTGAAGTTGTAAAAGACTATGTCTACTTAGGGCAGGTAATAACCGCAGAGCCTAACCACGAGATTGAAGTAACTAGAAGAATAAGAATGGGGTGGAGTACATTCGACAAGCACTCTCAAATTATGACAGGGAGATTGCCACTATCCCTCAAGAGGAAGGTATATAACAGCTGTATCTTGCCGGTAATTAGCTACGGAGCAGAAACCTGGAGACTTACAAAGAGGGTTCAGCTTAAATTGAGGACGACGCAGCGAGCAATGGAAAGATAAATGGTAGGCGTAACCTTAAGAGACAAGAAGAGAGCAGAGTGGATTAGGGGACAAACGGGGGTTAAGGATATCATAGTTGAAATAAAGAAGAGGAAATGGACATGGGCCGGGCATGTAGCGCGTAGACAGGATAACCGCTGGTCATTAAGGGTAACTAACTGGATTCCCAGAGAAGGGAAGCGGGTTAGGGGGAGACGGAAGGTTAGGTGGGCAGACGAGATTAAGAAGTTGGCGGGTATAAATTGGCAGCAGCAAGCAGAGGACCGGGTTATTTGGCGGAACATGGGAGAGGCCTTTGTTCTGCAGTAGACGTAGTCAGGCTGATGATGATGATGACGGGACCAGCTGCTGAGCAGCCACCAGCGTATTACACACATGTTATAAAATCTTTGCAACAATGGCGAAATGATTTTCCAGTTCAAGAACTTATGGTAATGTCCCTCACCGACATGAGCGAATTAATAGCATTTAAAAGCCTATCTGAAGAACAACGCGGGCAATGCCGGGCGAAAAGACGCTGGACTCTTGCAAACACGTCTCTCCCCTCCGAGGTCCGTGACCTAAACTGGCTCAGGGAATGGGGAGCTTTACCAACGGCCGACCGCCTTGCGGAGTGGGTCGTTGAGCCACTCCGCAAGGCGGTCGAATCCACATGCCCGCATAGCGGTCACGTCGAAACACTAAACACTAAACCATGTTTTCCATGAATGTATAGTAGCGCGCACCTTTTGGCGCATGGTTACCAGGATGTTCCAAACAAATATGCAGTGGAAGTCTAGCCACAGGGATAACTTAGTCGTACTCTTAATGGCTATCGGAGCCTTCGTCTTGTGGAAACGAAGGGGACTGGCCTGCCTGAGGGAACGCCCCCAGAGAGCCATGTTTCCCCTACTACATCGGCTAAGAAACATAATGCTTATGCATCTTAACGCAGAACTAGTCATGATGGGAGAGGAGGCTTTCCTCGGACGGTGGTCTACGCGATTTATTATCGTGAAAAACAACAGAGTGTCCATGCCTTTCCTCCCCTATTGAGGAGGTGGGCTAGAGCTTGTACCACTGTGACATTACAGTGTGTATTTTTCTTTTCTTCTTTAGAAACATGTCCTTTTGTGCAATATTGTTCTTGAGCGCGGGAGCAAATTGTCCTCACAGGTGAATGCAAAATATCACGCTACACTGTGAATGACCTCCCTTTGTTTGTTCATATAGCCTTACTGTTTATTACGGTTTAATCATCTTGATGTCATGAGTGTCCTGTCTTTGTTGTACAAGTTTTGCGTTGTACGTCACTGCATACGCTATAAGTTCTTTCGCTGTATATAAGAGCTTGCATTGTACATACGCATTGTTCACCATTGTCCATTTTTATGTGTGCGCACAAGCTGTGTAAGATATATCCGGAAAAAAATCTCTTAAACGCTATCTGTGCAAGACTGCTACTGTAATCGAACTTTCCGTTTGCCGGGCACAGTTTCGCCCAAATAAACTGTTGAGTCCCAACACAAAGTATGCTGCCTTTGGCCACGTCACGACCCCGTGACATCTGGTGGGGGTGCTGCTTCGTTCATGTATCGGACGCCCCCGTCAAGCCGTGAACCCAGCCCACGTCGTGGAGAAAACACCGACGCCAACCAAGAGCAGCGCACAAGCCGCCGACAGCAAGGTCTCCCACCTGAGTACGGGCTTCTACAGGACAAAGCGCGGAAGACCAAGGCCATGACCTCGACTGCAGCGACAATGACAACCGCAGCGTCCCAGCCCGCGATCGTCATTCATCAACCCAGGGAACCACCAACGTTCCATGGGTCATCGGTTGAAGACCCGGAAACCTGGTTAGAAACATACGACCATGTGGCCACCCTCAACCACTGGGACAACGAAGAAAAGCTCCGTCGTGTGTACTTCTACCGTTAAGACACCGCAAGGACCTGGCTCGAGAATCGGGAGTCCACGCTCCGAACGTGGAATGTCTTCTGCGGCGCATTCCTGCAAACGTTGGCGAGCGTCGCTCGCAACGAGAGGACCGCAGCTCTACTAGAGACCCGGGTTCAGCTACAAAATGAAAAGGTTGCAATATTCACAGAGATGACCCGCCTATTCCGTCACGCTGACCCGGATATGCCTGAGGAGAAGAAAGTTCGTTTCCTGATGCGAGGGGTCGAACAGGAACTCTTCGCGGGACTAATGAGGAATCCACCGAACACCATCCAAGAATTGGTATCCGAGGCGACCACTATCGAAAAAACCCTGGACATGCGCACCAGACAGTATAATCGTCGCCTGACTCCAGAATGCACTGTTGATCAAGCCAGTGACTCCGAAGACCTCGCGCGAAACAATCCGAGCGATCGTGCGGGAAGAGCTGCGCAAGCTATTGCCTTCTGCTCAGCCTCAAGTGGATTCTATTGCCGACATTGTGCGAGAAGAAGTTCGGCGGTTGCTTCGAATTCCCCAAACACCGCTGCCCGAGCCAGAAACTGTGAGCTACGCCGCTGCAGTGCGCCACAATGCTCCTCCTCATCCACGCCAAAACACCGCCCCGTCGTACTTCCGTCGCCAGACGCCACCGCCGCAACCACCACCACCGTCTTACCGTCCGCCAGTGGACCAGCGCATTGCGCCGAGGAAAACGGACGTTTGGCGTTCACCGGACAACCGCCCGCTCTGCTACCACTACGGTGAGGCCGAGCACACATACCGCCGTTGCCAGCACCGACAGATTGGACTGCATGGCTTCGCCGTCAATGCACCGCGTCCGCAGCCAGGAGAACGGCCACGTGACAACGCCGACAACCTGACAGGAACTCAATGGACACCACGAAGTCCTTTCCGTTCGCCGTCGCCCAGCCGCCGCATGTCACCGCGCCCCCGTCAGTACTCTGGCCCAACGCGGGGCCGGTCTCCTAGCCCGTATCCGGGAAACTAAGGGCAGCAACCGATGGAGGTGCGGTTGCTGTGCGACGAACTACCGAAGATCCTCCAACGACGACGACGCCGTGACGGAGCTTTCCGAACACAACACCAACCATGCAAAGCCCTGACGGCGAAACCTCACTTACCGAAGGTGGCATGACGACGCAACATTGAAGCAGCGGAACAAGCCGACGCAGCCGTGACCCGACGTAACGCCCTAAAGGTTGGTGCACACCGGCGACTAGCCGCGGTCGCGCGACCATTTGCGACTGGCGACCAAACTGCGAGTGACGTTCACACCGGCAAGGATTCATGCGAGCGACCGGAAGTCGCAAACCCGGAGAGTCACGTACAGATCTCGTTATCAACGAGAACTTGGGCGACCGGCGACGATCAGCTGATCAGATACGGAGCCCGCTGTGTGCGACGCGCCTGTTTCCGACGGCTGTGTTTGCGTAGCGTTCTCCCGGCAGCATCATGGACTTCGAGTCTAGTGATGAAGAAGAGGTTGTGGCGGTGCTGATGTGCTCTGCCAACGTGTCAGCGCTGGCTGCACGAAAACCTTCACAGCAAAAAAGGCGGTGGTGGGTGCGACCGTCCCTTCGCTCGCGAGAGGTGGCTGGCCACGCAGGTCGTTTGCTTCCCGACTTGCGCTCGCACGACGAGGAGTATTTCCGAGAGTAAGTTTATGGTTGTTTTACGTGCTTATAAGATAGTGCATAACCTGTTATCTCGTTCTTTTTTGGTGGTTAGCTTCATGCGGATGCCGCCACGAACGTTCGACACTTTGCTCGAACTGCTGCGCCCCGCAATATCCAAGCAGGACACAAACTACCGGCCTGCAATTTCAGCGCACGACCGCCTGGCCATGACCATTAGGTAATAGGTTTGAAGATTAATATGCTGTGGCTTGCGGCTGCGCATCGCTTGTAAGGAAGTTTTGCTTGGGTGGGTAGAACTAATTGCATTTTCGACGAATGCGAGCTCGGATGGCGCAGTCGTTACTGCGGTCCGCAGTTTACGCGTAGGTGACGGGTTTGATTACGGCCGCATCGTTCGCCTTTAGGTGGAGACGAAATGCATTTAAGTTGGCGCGTCTGTTGCGCACGTACGTTAAAATCTCAGGTGGTGAAATTTTGAAAACCATCTGTTGTGGCTTATTGCGTAAGCACTACGTGGTTTCCGCTTGTAAAATCCCAGAAAATGGGATTCTGCACTACACAATGACATTACATTTCGGGCGTGTCAGTTTCAGTTTTCTGTTTTCCTGATACACAGATACTATATAGAGCGCAATTATTAATGATGTCATAAAATAAGTGAAACACAATCCTAAGCTTAGAGTGTACAATTATGCACAAATTGTTAGGACAAATTGATGTGCTGTTCGAGGCGCTCAAAGAGTATTCATGCCAAAAATATTTTTCAGCATCGGGGAGGGAGGAGGTTTAACCAACCACACTTTATGTATCTGCATGCACGCTACAATAATGCGTATGTTCTGTTAAATTGACAGTGACCCAATACACTGTGGACAGTAGTGCAGTGGCAAAACGTATTGTGGACGGTAGTGCAATGTGTGAAAGCAGTTTAAGCAATAGACTTGAGGGATGTATGCTTCGTGAAATAGGTTCACCTTGAATTTCCAGCTTTTCAGAAATCCATGCTAAGCAAATTGCTACAGGTACGTTTAGGTCGCCCATCTTCAACCTGAGTGATATGAGCACGTATACTCTTCCATGAAAAGATTGATGCATGCTTATGATTCGCCAAAATGTGTACGCACATAAATATTCACTGCATATTCGTCAGCTTGCAGAGTTCACAAGCAGTGCAGTGAGATTCTGAATGCTAACTGTCCAGTCACCTGTAAAGTAATTATTGAAGATGCTCAATTAATAAAGAAAGCTCTATCAGAAAGGATTGCCATCATAAGCACCGAGTAGTGTACCTAATGCATGCTAATTTCCGTGTATTGATTTATTTCACTGCTGTATCTCATTGCCTTGCCAGGTTTCTGGCGACAGGCGAAACCCAAAGGGACGTGACCTTCAACTTCCTAGCGGGGAGATCAACCGTTTCTTCCATAGTGTCGAAGGTCAGTGAGGCCCTTTGGCTTGTATTTCAGCCACTGTACCTCCAGCACCCTTCAACAACAGATGAGTGGATGAAAGTATGACAGGCTAGTTTTTCCTGCATTTTCGCAGCAACGATAATGATACATTGCTGGCTTGTGCTGCTTTGTGTGGTGTAATTGAAATGCAGCTAGGACAATACCAAAATAGCACACACTTCAGGACACTGCCTTTCAGGCAATGCACAATATATTGGAACAGGCAAGGACATAAAATCGCTATTTGATAGATTTGTGTATGCATTGGTGAGACAAGTTATCCTGTGTTCAGAGTGTGAAGGTGGTTGACACACAACTCAATAGCAGCAGCTTTACTGGCAAAGTCTAGACAACGCAACGTAAAGGTAACACAGTCATTAAAGGAGTGTGCAACATTGCAACGTTTTCCATAAAAATGCTCATGGCTGATGTGTGAGAGTTTGGTTTCAACTGAGAAATGACTTGAAAAACTGAATGTGCTTGCATGTGAGAAGTGCAATACAAGCACGATCAGCTTATGTCAACGCAAATATATTGTGGCAACACACTGGAAACACACCTTTACTGGAAGGGAGAAATGAGTGTTGAACTAAACTGGGAATGATGTGCTTATGTTTAGCTCATCGTAATCCTGACCCTCTCAACACAGGGGAGCACATGAGGATAATCATATGCAAAATGCATTACACCACAGGCTTCATGTTCATTAGTACTCAATAACTTGCATATAATTGAAGTAAACATTCCGTTTCACTAGGAAATGCAGGTTGCCTATCAGAGTTTTTTGGCAACCTGTTCGGCATAGCATCAGTGTCATAACCTCTGTGAAATTGTCTCAAGAGCCCCTTCAGGAGAGGCACATGTTTAGCTACATATGTTTTTGGCCACAAAAAGTTTTGTGTATTTGAAGCAGCCAGATGTACATTTCGTAGCATTGGCAACGTGTGTGAAGGCGATCATTTGTGGGATTTTTTTTTCCGCAGATTTCACAAGAATTTCACGAGAGGTTGAACATCCCTCACTGCCTCGGTGCTATAGATGGCAAGCACGTGACGATAGAGTGCCCTGCGAACTCCGGGTCTATGAACTTCAATTATAAGGGCTCATTCAGCAAGTCGCTGCTTGCTGTGTGTGATGCCCAATACAGGTGATTCTGGGTTGTATTGAAATGTGCACACTAGTAAGGTAGCATTAACAATTGGTGTTAACAATTTCATTAGGTGTTAACAATTTCATTAATGCACAAGGTAACAAGTGATATTCAAGAGGTTGAGTGATGTGTATGGTTTTCCTTTGCCATGTCTACATGCGTGTGCACATAACTTTAGAAGGCTAAACAGTAGTCCATCCTTCAGAGTGACGGGACTGCTGTGCCACTTGGTAACTCATTAGAGATGAATGCTGCACAAAACAATATAGGTGTCTTGTTATTTTGTGCACCACTGATGTAACAACTAGTATTGTATGCGGGCAACTGTAACATGGTCAACCAACATTTTTCATAGAAAGACGATGGGTTTCAAGACATGCACTGAGTATTGGTGGCTGGCCTTTGCTGATATACCTGAAGTGAAGTCTTATAACTACAGTACTTTTGCACCCAGGTTCATATACGTGGAAGTCGGGCACTCTGGAAATGAGAGTGACGGTGGGATTTTCTCCCGCTGCAATCTCCAAAAAATATTTTGCAAGAAGCACTGGGCTTGCCACCAGTGAGCATGTGGGCAACGAGGGTCCCCTCCCTTATTTCTTCGTCGGCGACGAGGCCTTCCCGCTGAAAGAGCACGTGATGCGTCCATACGCAAGACGAAGTAAGTTAAGAATGTGTGAAAGAAAGGCTTAGTGCTTTTCAGTTTATGTGAAAGAGCTGTGGAGAAGGTATGCTACAGCAAACCCTGTTGTGATTTTGGACATCACTTAGGTGGCTCAAGGCATCATTACCTGTTTGTGTTTACCATTTTTTAAGTAACAACATAAGCTTTGAGGACTCAAGCCGTTGTATTGTAGCTCTCACATGCCATCTTATTTTTACTAAGGAATTGTTGCACCGTGACGTGTCTGTAGAAATGCAGACTATGCATGTATTTTAGGGGAAAGTGTTGGCACACTTCTCTCGCGATTGGACACAAGTTTGATGTTGTGGGAAAAAAAGTGCTTGCACTGGTACAATTACAACACATTGCACCCCAGCAATATGTAATCCCAATTATGCCTCAACGTTTTTTTTTTTTTCGCGAAATTCCGCGGTTTTGTGTAAATTCCTGTTCGGTTGTTCCCGTGTACGGCAAATGTTTTTTGCGCCTTTTGATTTTTCCTTTCTGTTATTGTTTGTTTATTTTTCCAGTTTATGCAGATATTTCAAATGTGTTTCATATGTGTAACCACACTCCTGCTGCATTGTATACCTGTAGAGTGTTTTACCCCTCACTCCTCTCTGTAATGCCCTTGGCCCTGAGAGTAAATAAATAAATAAATAAATAAAAAACGTAGGTGAAAGCAGGGCCTCGCTACTTACATTTGGAAAAAAAGAGAGAGAGGTACAAATTCCGGCGTTATACGACTCGACAAATGACCTGGGAGATTTGTAAAAGCAATATGCAATAGGGATGTCTTTGACTAGGCAATCATGCTTCAGAAGCATGCAAAACTGGTTCGGTTGGTGCAATGCGAGAAGAGCCACCAAAACTCAGAACGAGGAGGAAAACAAGGGCGAACTCTTTAAGCACACACTGGCGACCAGTGCGCCTAATTGTGCTTCCTTGTGTGATCATTGTTTTTAATTTTGAGATTTTTTTCTTGCATGGATGTAGGCAATAGCAGTTATACAGTTTATATGTAAGAGACCTTCGAAGGTCTCTTACAGAAACATCTGTAATGGCAAGTTAGCATCTCTGCTGGCCCTTTGCGACAGTGCGGGGCGGTCCGCATGTTTCATTTGTAATCACCAATCATAGCGTTATGTTATATAAGGCTTGTGAGGTTATTTTTCTTACAATGCTCAGTGTCTTCCTTTTCAGCACTGCACGAAGACTGACGACAAGTCGTACGAGCGTCGCGTCTTCAATTACAGGATGTCCAGGGCACGCCGCACTATTGAGAATACCTTTGGCATTCTGGCACAAAGGTGGAGGGTGCTACGCCGACCCATTAAGGCGAAAGAAGTCAACATAAAGGACATACATTGGAGCATGCATAGTGCTACATAACTTTCTCCTTAAGGAGTCCACAGCATCCTCCACTGCCTATTGCCCGCCTGGTGCCACAGACAGCGAGGATTGGGAAGGACATCTTTCACCTGGAAGCTGGAGATATGAGGCAGCAGCCAGCGGAGCGCTCATACCATCAAGGCCTACCGGCTGCAATGCTGCGAGGTATGCTTTTATTCAATTAATGACTGATGAGGTGCCGTGGCACATATAGTGCGCGTACCGACAAAAACTGAAGGATGCAGAGAGGATATAAACGAGAGGCACACATGTGTTAGTAATGGGGATTTAAATAGTGCTCCGACAGTAGGTTTTGTGTAAAAGCATACGACAAACACACATTGTAAAAAATGTTGCTCTGCAGTGAAGTTTTTAGAATGCATGTTTTAAAAGAAAACACTGTAAAGACATGAACACTACATGTATGTCAAATCGTCTGTGTTGCTCAAGAGCTAGTAAATTTTTACTACTTTGAATTAGTAAGCACCTGTTGGTGAAAGTTTTTCAGTACAACCACACATCAAAGCAAGGGAATGTGTACTAATTCACAATGACAATATGAAGAAAGAAGTGTAGTGAAAGAATACCTTGATGCGGGCGAAATGAACTTCTGACCTTCAAATATACCGTTCTATGTTCTACCAAGGTAGCTTCTACCAAACTCCCTGGTCACTTTATGGGAGATTCGTGGGCACAAGTTTTGTCCCTAGAAGTGCCGATATTTACGATTTACGTCCATTTGGTTTCTTCACATTTATATCATAATACCAACAGCATCCTATATATTTACGTTAGTTTTTTGTTTGTTCCAATTACGACTGTGTTTTAACATCCTAGATTCTTTTACTTTCTATTGTAGCTGAATATATGTTAACTAGGAGCAATAAAAAAACATAGAGGTCAACTTTCTTCCAAATTGATGGGCACAGCCATGTGCCGCGTAAGATGAGGTTTTAACAAAAGAAAACGATATTCATGTTGAGTACGTTGCTGATGCCTATTGAACGGGTCCATCAATTATGGTGGATTTTGAACTGACCGAGCTACATTTAATTAGGTTTAACTGTACGGGGCAATCATTCTCTGAAAAGTGTACAATGGTTTTGTCCAAATTGGAGCAGTTGCTGACGTTGGCTGTCACGGAACTTGACATATCAAAATTTCTAAAGTTAATCAGTAAATATGCATTCTATCATAAGCTGTGATGATGCCGTAGAAGACAGGCAGCAGAGGTAGCGCTCATTAATACATCAAAAACGAGGAACACTTTGGCAATATAGCGTCATGACTGCAACACTGAAATCCAACTATGCGTGAGATTTTCAAGCTCAGCATGCTCCTTTTACAGTGTGTGTCTTCCATCATGACTGTGCTGACAGAAATTTCACATGGCGCTTGTGCGTTGTAGGTATGCCAAGGAAGTGCGAGATAAATTGGCGCACTACTTCGTCACAGACGGTCAGGTGCCTTGGCAGGACAAAGTGGTGAACAGGACTTGAGGCATACAAGGTAAAGGTGGGTTGTAAATGCATTTTATTGCTTACAGAACTTATGTACATAGCATCTTTTTAAGCTAAACAAACAGGAGAAAAATCGCCCGTGACACAACAGATACATTACAGAGAAAACTGTCATGTCCAAATATAACCATGAAAACACAAAAATAAATAATCCATGTAAAATATTTGAGTTATTGCACGGTTATCACTATAATTATCACAGAAATAGGTTGCCTTAAAGCGGTCATGAGGCCCCATTTTCAACCATAACGTGTGTTGTATGAGCTGATTCTTGTATGTTCACATACAAACTGGCAAACTTCGAGCGATTTGGTCAAGCTGTTAATTTTAAATCGCATATTTTTATAAACGAGCTAGTCGCCCGACAGTTGGGCAATACTGACGCACTCACTATCCATGACATCACGAACCGCTTGCTCGACAAGCTGCTGCACAGTGTGCATTCTGGCAGACGGTCGTGTTCCGTCATCAACTGCGCTTGCAATAAAATTTTTTTGCATTGTTGAACTCTCCACTAAAGCTAAATGACTTCCAGGGGTCGAAACATGGCTACTGCGTCAGCAATGTAGCGCTGGTACTTGCAGCAAATAATTTCGAATGTCAAAATGGGTCCTGTAAATGTGCAATGCGTATACTATTTGCCATTGCTTCTTCGGCTTGTGACGTCTCGCACGCCATGACAAAATGGCGGTCACTTGCGGTAGGTTTTAAGTTTTAGGAGCCGAGCACTTCTACGGCATATTTTTGACTAAAATAATCTCTTAAGGCCCCTTTTCACACGTGTACTAGCACATTTTACTCTGTAGTTTTGTTTTTTGCTGACAACCAATAATTGTTGAGTGACCAGTCATGACCCCTTTAAGTTAGGACTAGAAATGTGAACACAAGATAAAAAGGTGGGTGTCATTGACATTATATAAACATTTCAATTTGCTTCACTGCTCTGACGCAATTTCACCTCTGCTTCATACAGCATGAATTCTACTGCATGCATTACATCTAGTGCAATGTGCATTGGTAGCTCCCTGAGGCGTGCATCGGTACGTAGAGCGAAGAAACCAATGTTATCTTTTTTGATGACCCCCTTGTTCGCTTTGATGTGTTCAAGGTGCTCCATGCACACTTGCGCCACAGCTTCATGACTTGTGCCCTCTCCTGCATTGCTGTAAAGCAAGTGTGATCTGTGATTCATGTATGTGATTGCTTTAAGGTTGCATTGTTGATTCATAAAGCACCATTTAGCAAAAAAAGTGTGAGAACGACAAGGTAGAAACGGAAGAAACAAGACAGAGCACTGACTTTCAACTGATGTTTGTGATTTTCGGCACTAAGAAAGAAACAATATAGAGCAGCTGAAGCAAATTAAATAGCACACTTAAAAGATAAATGTGTCAATAGGGCGTCTACCTCTCTGTGAGAAATAAATGGGCTTTTGATCTTTAAAACGGACACTCGTGTTTTGGGACAGGGTGCTGATGTTCTGATATTAACGTCTAAATATTACGGTAGTTACATGGGTTCTGTCTTCCTTAGTATAATTGTGCCCATAATAAAAACATCAGTTTAAAGTCAGTGCTCTGTCCTGTTTCTTCTGTTTCTACCTTGTCGTTTTCACACTTTTTTGTTACTATGTCTGTGTACCAACTTGACCGAGCGTTAACCTTATAAAGTTTTGTATTTTGTAGCATGTGCGGTATTGTTAGAAAAAAATCTGCAAGTTTATCCTCTAAGAGTTAGCGGTATATCTCACCTAGCGCCCTCGCAGGTCCGTTCTCGTCTTGCCGAGCGTGACCTGCAGTGAATTATACATATTGCTTAAATGTACAGAAAGAGATCCTTTTCGAAAAGTTGTGATTGTGATCTCTTGCCAGGAGTACCTAAAATATTTTTTTTCGTTTACACACCGTTTTGATGGTGGCTCCTCTCTTGAGGTGGTTGCTGAAGCATCGCTGCAGAAGGAGGCAGTATTATTATACAACTTATAAAGTGTTACAATTTCATGCAGCAGAATCTGGTGTGAAAACATTAGGCACATTCTCCAAATGTGCTAGAACGTGAAGAAAGTTACAAAACATGTTTTCAAGATTTAATAAATTGGCTATTTATGCATGCCCTTCATTTGTCATTACTTAAGTGGATTCATAAAGGCTTTACTCATTGCTGCAGGTGTCGACACCAGTCTCCTCAGCCGTATCAGGGGTACGTTCCGGTTCCGCTGCATGGCTTGGCCGAGGCTGTGATCTGCAGTGATAAAAGCTTCTCTCTATGTATTTGATCATGCCACTAGTACATGGACAGTTTTAGGCATTCTTTGGGAGTTCAAATGCCATTATGATTTCACTCAACACGAGGTTTATTTATCATAAGAAGTCACTTGCGTTACCTCTTGATTGAGCACTGCTGTATGGAAGGTGTGCATACAGGTGTGCCTTTTATGTTAATAAAATGCTATGTAGGCTGCGCATCTAAATGAGAGCAAGAGATATTGTCACGGAGATGAAGTAAAGGTGCATTCTGAAGTAAAGGTGCACATTTTTGTGCATGCTCACCTCTCGTTAGCCTCTTCTGCTGTGATGTGGCTGCTACAAGAGCACATGCAATATGTGATTCTGTCAGTGCTATTGTGTGCATCTTTAGAGCATTTTCACTGTTTTGCTACAATATAAGTACTTATGCTGCATTCTTGTAATGAATATGTGATGCTTGCCTATGAACAGCCTCATGATACATGCAATAAGCGATCTCTTTAGATTTTTAGATTTTGTATTAAGCCTTCCTTCTTTAGATAACTGAGAGTCGAGAATGACACAGAAGTACACTCAATTCTCTCATTCTTAACTGTTCTGTCTTCAATACTCTGTTTAGTGAAGCTGCCCACGTGCCACTTGTATGGTATGCTATATTTTTTTGCGTTCTGCTGATGCATTGTGCTATGCTAACCAAAACATTTCATTTTCTGTTAATGGAGGGTAAGCATTATACATTACCTTTGGTCAATGGCACTCATGTTGCACAGTACCCTGAAAGAATGATGCACAGAGTTATTCTTTGTAGCTGTAGCCACAATTAATTGACATCAAAACAGCCCATTGCCACCATGTTCATGATCACATGCATGCCCACTGTGAATTACTTCTTGGGACTTCTATGTTTATGTGCAGTGTACTTATGTGTATTGATATGTGTGTATTTATGTGTATATATAACAGTCATGTGAATTAAATCAACTTTTTTTGTTTAGTACTCAAAAGTCAGCTAATATTGAACTTACGCCACAGGCTCAGACTCTCCTTTCATTAATTCAAGCATGGCCTCAAAATGGGGCCATTTTATTGTAGGAATGTCCGCTGCTCCGGCTCCACTTCTTTGTTTTTCACGTATGTCTTGTTCTTTCCTTTTAAAGATGTCACGCAGGTTCTTGAATCGTTTTTGAACAAGGACACCTGAAAACAAAACCCTTGCTGTAAGAATGTCTTGTGCATAATGTATCGCTGATAAATTTTCTACTTTATTTCACCACAATTGTGAGCGGTCTTTATTTTCTTTGCCCAGATCATTTCGGTTGCAGCACCCTAAAATCTGAATTTTGGGCGTCAAAACGAATCACATGCCATCTAAACTTAGGTATTAGTAGGGGCTTAAACATTGCGAAACCACAACATGATTGGGGGAACCTGCAGCCGAGGGTTCCAGAAATGCCACCCACCTAGTGTTTTGGACTGTCCACCTACATGTGCACGACATCACAGCTGACGCAATGATGTCGTCCACCTACATGTGCACGACATCACAGCTGACGCAATGATTAGTTGCGCAGAGAGTTGTGTACACTTTTCTTGAAGGTAAGCATGTCTGCCAAGCTATTGTAACAGAGAGGCTGTTTATACTCTTGGCAATAGAAGTTCAATTGCAAAAAGTCTATTTCATGAACCAGCACATGATGTTTTTATCACCTTCACAGTGAAGCTTTCTAAGCATTACTGCATTGTGCAAAACTCCACAGGTGAGTATATACCATTGGTATCGGCCAAGCGCAACTGTCGTGTACAGCGGGAGTAATTGTTGTCAAACAAAAGCAAACATGTTAAATAACTTGAAAAGAAGGATGAAACTAACTAGAGCAAGATGACAATTTTTGATAGAAAGAAATGCAACAAACATAGTATATGACTCAACGTGTAACATAGAGAGAGCGAGAGGAAGGAAAATATAAGAAAATAAAGGGACCAAAACATGAAAACATACCAACACATAGAAGCAGACATGAAACATTGACTTTAAAATATAGGAACAAAGAAAACAAACAAAAACGGGGCACAGTTGGAAGCGGAGAGATATAACCTCTGGGAATAAAGGAATAATCGAAATATAAAGGCAGCAATAGACAAAAACACAGGAGAGGAAAGGAACAGTTGTAAAGAAATGAGGATTAGATATGGGCCACATTACAGAGGAATAAATTCCCCAATCTGTGCTTTCCTTCAGTGTTCGCCCAGCCACTAGAACACTACCATATCTTTTTTTTCACGATTGCATGTCATTTGGCATCAACAGCATGTCTGACTCCCGAATCCGGACATTTGAGAGTGCTGCTAAACATGTTTTGTATGTCTTAATTACACGCTATGGGCGCACAAAATGCGCTCAAAGCAGAAGCTACTTTGCATTCTTTTTTAAAACAGCTTAACTGCAACGCATAAGCACAATTAAAGCGTAACACCTCCCTCACCCCTCACTAGATATTATGCATTGCAAAGGCCGCACGTTCACAAAAGCACACATTCCCTTGGCCAGACGATGGCGTACAAAAACAGCAAGGAGCATGCGCTAGGTGAGTTGGCAAGTGCGAGCAGTATTTCGAACGTCTGAGCTTTATTATCAGCTTTACAATTTTTTGTCACGTCGATTTCGATGTTAAACTCGGAAAGTCGCGAGAACAAACGTGCACACAACTGCGCTCGCATACATCACAGTCAATACATCTAATGCAAACTAACCAAGTAACCTTGCAGTACAAATACCAATATTTTCATTGTTCATTCATAGGCAACGCCAGCCATGCAGTACACACCTGTTCTTGCTTACATAGCTACTCAAACAAAAAATCTCTGTACTTACTCGACATGCCGAACATGCGTCCGATCTCTGCCCAAGCCCGGTCCTTCTTTGTGCGATCTTTAAAAGAAGGGTGCCGCTTGTCATAGAGATATGGGAACATTTTAATCGCGTCGATGAGGAGCTCGGCCGAGTACTCAGAGCTGGCCGTGGTGGCATTCGCCTGATGCCAGGAAAAATCCATGGAGGAACGTACACGTGTCGTTTGTACATCGCGGCAGTAGGCAAGCGCAATGAGAAAAAAAAATAACGTACGGGGAGGCCAGATGTAAACAAAGACTGACGTCACTTCTGGTCTTCGCTGCTTGGTTCTACTGTTTTGCGACTGCAGTCGCGCGACCAAAAAATTGGTCAGGAAGCGACTGGCCAAAACAGTCGCTTTGCGACCGCTTGCGACCGTTCGCGACTGGTTGCGACCAGTCGCAAATGGTCGCGCGACCGCGACTAGTCGCCGGTGTGCACCAGCCTTAACTGTAATGCGAGACGGCGAACTAGCGACCTCGACGTTCTTATCGATGGCCACAGTGTGACTGCTCTCGTCGTTACTGGAGCCGACTATTCCGTCATCGGTGGGTTGTTCGCCGCGAAGTTAAAGAAAGTTAGGACAGCTTAGGCAGGCCCTTCAAAGTTGTGAGCGACCACCACGCCTTGTGTTGGCTAGCCACTCTGAAGGATCCTTCAGGTCGCCTCGCACGGTGGAGCCTGAGACTTCAAGAATATGTCATTACCGTCGTTTACAAGTCCGGCGAGAAACACTCCGACGCCGACTGTCTCTCTCGTGTGCCTGTCGACCAACGACCACCCGACGACCCGAATGACGACTACTTCTTGGGAAGAATAACTACCGACGACTTCGCTGAACGACAGCGGGCCGACCCGGAACTTAAGGTCCTAATAGAATACCTCGAAGGCAGGACCACCGAAGTCCCGAAGATATTCAAGCACACTTTTGCGTCGTTCTTCTTGCGAAACGGTCTTCTGCAAAAGAAAAACTTTTCACCGCTTCTAGCCAAGTACCTCCTTGTGGTGCCTTCAGCTTTGCTACCAGAACTCCTGCAGGGCCTGCACGACGATCCGACAGCAGGGCATCTCTGTGTTTCTCGCACGCTCGCGAGGATACAAGAAAGGTACTATTGGCCACGTCTTACCACCGACGTCACTCGTTATGTGAGGACATGCCGGGACTGTCAGCGACGCAAGACACCACCGACAAGGCCAGCGGGACTTTTGCAGCCAATTGAACCACCTCGCCGACCTTTCCAGCAGATTAGTATGGGCCTATTGGGGCCGTCCTCGACGTCAGCTTTCGGAAACAAATGTATCGTGGTAGCTACAGACTACCTCACCCGCTACGCCGAGACAAAAGCCCTGCCAAAAGGCAGTGCATCAGAGGTAGCTAAGTTCTTCGTCGAAAATATCTTTCTACGTCACGACGCCCCGGAGATCCTTATCACCGACAGAGAAACGGCATTTACTGCCGACTTAACTCAAGCGATCTTAGCATACAGCCACAAAAACCACCGCCGGACGACATCGTACCACTCACAGACCAACGGCCTCACCGAGCGGCTAAACAAGACGATCGCCGACATGCTGGCAATGTACGTCGATGTCGAACACAAGACGTGGTACGCCATTCTTCCGTACGTCACCTTCACATACAACACGGCGGTGCAGGAGACGACGCAGATATCTCGATATAAATTGGTCTACAGAAGGAGCCCGGCAACGACGCTGAATGCCATGTTACTCAACGTCACCAACGAAGAAAACCTCGATGTGAGTGAGTAAATTCAACGCGACGAAGCCCGACAACACGCGCGTCTCCGTATCAAGAATCAACAGACGACCGACAGCCGGCGTTACAATCTTCGACGACGCTTCGTGGAATACCGGCCCGCTGAACGTGTTTGGGTGTGGACGCCGATACGCCGACGTGGATTAATTGAAAAGCTTCTGCGACGGTACTTCGGACCGTACAGGGTGGTTCGATGTCTCGGCCCACTTGATTACGAGGTTGTCCCCGACGGCATCACGAACTCTCAACGACGCTGAACGCAACCTGAAGTCGTCTATGTCGCGCGCCTCAAGCCGTTTCATGCCCGTTAACAAACTGAAACAGTGTTTTTTCTATTATTATTGTATCGTAATTTATTCATTCTACTTTTTAGCATTATTGTTGTACCTTCATCTTAGTTAAAGCATCGGGACGATGCCTTTTTCAGAGGGGGGCAATGCCACGTTCTATTTCTCAAGTTTTGTTATCACCCCAAAACACTACACAATTATCAGCGCAAACCGCGCCTGCAGTTTTCGAGAAGCTTCCGGACTTTAGCAGATCATTTTGATAAGATCACGCCCACTCTGCGAACTGTACAGATTATTCTGGAACCTATGCCACCTGAAGCGGTAACGCTAGAACATTCGATGGCAAGAGTATAAATGCCGACGCACTTCGCCGCTTGTGAGTAGTTGATCGACGGCCGACGCTTCGTTCACTGCTATCTGTGCCGGGGCAATCGCTTCTCGGCTTTTGGATTTCACGGTCAGACCAGATTCTGCCGGCGTCGCCGCCTCGTGCGAGCGACTGCCACCTCTGGGTCTCGGGCCTTCCAGCCCGGAGCCCCCCACCCCTATGCCAGGAAGAGCACGGTTGCCGGTCCACGCTACCTTCCCGGAGCCCGCTTGCAGCCCACCCGACTCCACCTGATCCCGAGCGGCGTCTCTCCAGGCTTAGCCGCAGATTTACCAGAGTGCAGCTCGACTGCACGCTACTAGTTTTCTACAAGTCACGCCCCCTTCTGCTGGCGACACCCCCTCCCGAATGGCGGCCACTACCGACCTACCAGTGCGGGAGAACTGCTTCCTCTTCACAGCGCCGGACGGCGACGTATCCCTTGATGATCTTATAGATTCTATTGAATTAGAAGCTGGTGATGATAGTGTTCTTGTTATGCAGCATATGGTCGGGGCCAAGTTTCTCGTCTGTACACGTAACACCAGCCAGGCAACAAAGTTAATGGTGGTGGAAGGTTTCAAGGTTAATGGAGTAAGCGTACCGGTTGAGGCCGTCGGGCCGCCAGTCGCGTACGTCAACGTCCACCGATACCCCGCCTACCTGTCTGACGAGATACTTGGCAACGCCCTAGCACAGTACGGTAAGGTGCGGGGCAGCTCGTTTGCTACTGTGGCCACCCGCCAAAATAAGTTGAATGGCGTAAGAGTCGTAAAAATCGAAATGAGTAAGCCGGTGCCCAACTTTGCGACCATTGCAGGGCACCGGGTCCTGTTCGAATATAGAGGCATGAGGCGGGTGTGCGCGCAATGTAGTGAGGTGGGCCACATGGCGACCGCATGCTCCGCACCATACTGCAAACGATGCGGAACTTTCGGTCATGAAACTGAGG